CTCCCTCCCTCCCTCTCCCCCCCTCTCTTCTTCTTTCTTGTTTTTCAAGACTGACTTTCTCTGTGTAACATCCCTGGCTGTTCTGGAACTTGCTTTGCAGACCAGGCTGACCAAAGAGATCTGCCTGCCTCTGCCTCCTGAGTGTTGGGATCAAAGTCGTGCGCCACCATACCCAACTGAGACTGTCTTTCTAATCAGTGTTTCAGTCTTATAGAGTCAGAAGTCTAATCTAGGAGTTGATGCTTTGAAGTCCTGTTGCAGGATGTCTTTCTGTGTGCTGTGAATATGTGATGCTCCGGTTGGTTAATAAATAAAGCTGCATTGGCCTATGGCAGGGCAGAATGGAGCCAGGCATGAGATCCAAGAGAGATAGAGAAAGGAAAAAGGCAGGGTCAGGGGAGACACAGTGAGTCGCCACCAGGAGAAGCAAGATGTGAGAGAGCAGTTAACGCTGTGGTCATGTGGCAAAACATAGATTAATAAAAATGGGTTAATTTAATATGAAAGAGCTAGCTAGCAAGAAGCCTGAGTCATAGGCTATACAGTTTGTAATTAATATTAAGCCTCTGATTATTTTATAAGTGGCTGCAGGACCTTGGGCAGGAGGGATTCGTCCAGACTGCAGGGCTGGGCAGGCCTGGAGAAACTTCCGGCTACAAAGTCCCATACACCAGACCACACCATTTATATCAAGAGAAAATACAACACATCCTTCCCTTGTGGCTTTTTATAGTTAACCACTTTATAGCACTCTGGTAGGTTGTCATGGGTGACTGCCCTTAGTGCCTCAGGAAAGACTGCTGCCAGTGCCCTGTGCTGGTGTGTGCCTCCTCTGTCCTGTCACCAAGGTTCACTGACATTTTTCTAAGCAGAGAGGAAGTCCTAGAAGAAAATATATCGTTATGGTGATATTGTGTTCCCCAATATATTGTGTACCCTAATAAATTTATCTGGGGTTAGAGAACAGAACAGCCACTAGATAGACATAGAGGCCAGAAAATGGTGGCACTCACACCTTTAATCCTAGCCTTCTGGAGGCAGAGATCCATCCTGATCTCTGTGAGTTCAAAGCCACACTGGAAACAGCCAGGCATGGTGACTCACGCCTTTAATCCCAGGAAGTGATGGCAGAAAGGTATTAAGGTGTGAGGACCAGGAACGAGAGCTGGTTAAACTTTTAGGCTTTTGAGCAGCACAGTTCAGCTGAGAGGCTTCCAGTCTGAAATAACAGGATCAGCTGAGGAATTGGCAAGGTGAGGTGGCTGTGGCTTGTTCTGCCTCTCTGATCTTCCAGCATTCACCCTAATACCCAGCTCCAGGTTTGTTTTTATTAATAAGACCTTTTAAGATTCATGCTACATATCATGAACCCTAAGTTAGCTTTAAGTCTTTCTGTTAAACAGCAACAGCCAGGGGACCCTTTTCCTGGACTTGGTCTGTTCTATGCTGAGGATCACACTGTTATTCACCATGTAGCATAGGCTGGCCTCAAACTTGTGGTGATCCTCCTGTCTTTGCCTCTCAAATGCTAGGATAGAGATGACCAGCACCACACCCAGCTAATATCATCCTTTAATAACAAAACTGTCATCAACAGTTGGCATCCCTTGTGTGGTTAGAGTTAGGGGCTGTTTCTTTAAAACTATCTTCATTATGTGTTAACCTTTTACCCCATCTTCCTGTTTTTACTTCAGGCAGGAAGTTAAGAGGAAAAGCCTTCTATTTTGTCAATGGCAAAGTATTCTGTGAGGAAGACTTTTTGGTGAGTATATCACCCAGACTGCATACGGTGAGGGGTGGGTTAGGGCAGGAGCCTGAGAGGACCAGATGGCAGGATATTGTTTCTCTGTGTTCCTAATACTACTGGGAGAGAGGGCCATTCCCTCCTTGTGAGTGCCTGGGTAATCTGAGTCCTGAAGCAGAAGACAAGCCACAAGGCTTTATGGCATGTACAAATGTGCCCTCCCCACCTACCCCCTGCTTCTGTGTGTGTGTGTGTGTGTGTGTGTGTGTGT